TATGTATATGTATATGTATATGTATATGTATATGTATATGTATATGTATATGTGTATGTGTATGTATATGTATATGTGTATGTATATGTATATGTGTATGTATATGTATATATATATATATATATATATATATATATATATATATATATATATATTATTTATTTATTTATTTATTTATTTATTTATATATAGGTTTTATCATCGTTCAAACTATTAAACGAATATCCATAGAAAATATTATCTGAGGCGATGTATTTAGGTTTGAAGAAAATATTTTATCGGTTCGATGTGTTACTGATATATGGACCAGTGTAAACCAGATCCATCTATTGGTACATCGATCGACGCCACCTGTTATAAGGTAGTATAGGTTCTATGCGAAACAGTTTCTTGTGTTTGTTTTTGTTTTTGGAGCTCGTTACTATATACTACACCGATACATACAACAACTAAAATGAGAATAATTCAGTGGTTAATGGGTGTTCAAATCGAATAGAAAAATCAAATCAAACTTTAATGAAATAAAAATCAAATTGATCTCGAATCGGTTCAATCTAAATTGGTTCATTAATAATTCGGTTCTGAAGATAATAAATAGTATGATTTGGGACGGTACTCTTTTTTTTTTTTTTTGTTCTAGTTAACAATTCAGATCGAATCAATATTATTTTAATTTTAAAAATATTTGTTCGATCAAGTTCATTAACTTAAGCCCTTAATCAAGTATAAATATATATTATTATCTATGTTATCCTCGTATCCTCACCTTAATCTTTGTCCGTATGAAGATTCTACATCTAATTGGGTGCCAGATAGAAACCTTCTGAAAATATTTAGAATAACAATTATGATAGGAACATTTTGACAATGTTAACTAATATTTTAGTTTGGTATAATTGAACTAAACCAATTCATCGAACCAAATTAACTCATTTGAAATATATATATTTTAAAATTAATTAAAATTAAAAATAAATTAATCAGTTAATCGATTTTGGTAGTAGGACTGAATCGTTTTGTTCCATTCAAATTTGTTTGAATATCAGAAAAGATAATGGATAGAATATTTATAAGTTTCATCCAAATATAAAGTTAATCATCTTAAACCTCACAGGAATGTACTTAGAATCTGATTCTAAAGAGTTAAATAATTCTTAGAAACTAAAAAGAACTCCATAGTAAACCGTGTTCTAATTTAAAATCAATTAATTATCAGGGATCTAACTTAGATTACTCATTCTCTAGAAAGAATAGAAGATAAGAATAATTATTGAATAAGCTTTATTTATACAGATTAGGAAGGAGAATTTTTCTCAACAGAGTAGAGAGATTTCCTCATATAGTTAGAGAAATCATTGTCCATACATATTGAAGAACTCGATTAAAGTATATTTAAATTTGATTTAAATGTATCGATTACAATTGTGCCTAAAAAAATCAAGCCATAATATTGAGACACTGTTTCTGTGTGATGGGATGACATACATATATATTAAGCTCATTCAAGATTTTTTTCACTGACTAATGTATCCTCTAGTCCCGCCCATAAGTATTCTTCTTCTTCGTCATCATCAGCTTACTACTATTTGTCATGATCTAATTTATTAAAATAATTGACTTAATAACTTTTGTTAAACTTGAAATATTGATCCATGATGCTTAAGATTAAATTAATAATTACATATTCATCTAATCTTTAATGTCTGCTTAGATTTCGCATATTTCTGATGTGAGATTAAACTAAAATATTACGTAAATCCCAGTCATTCCACGCACAAGCCCTCCCCTAAAAGCTACCACCAATAATTTTACATGCATATGGCTACATTTGGTGGACCCATCCAAAACTTCACTGCAAGTAATTTGCAGGTTGAATAATATAGAGCATGGGAAAACATCCAACATATTCGATGCCTATAACTATACGTGACAGGCTTATAATAACCTAATACCACAAAACCTCATTTCTTGTGAGTAATTTTATAGCATCGTAGTGACTGAGAAAAGAAATGCACTTATTTTTCATGAGAACTAATTTTTATTTAGCCATCCTATCAAACCAATAGATGTTGTATAATCTTTATGACACAAATACTTGTTATGTAAACTTCATTTAGTGAGAAGATAAATGTAAAAGCACTCAATTACTTGTGTCTCAAGAATACGCAGGATAAAAACAAGCCTCATCCTCATTCTTTCTGTCTCTAGGCTTTGGACTGAATTGGCATCATGTGTTGGTTCCAGTCATATTATGCAATCCTTACAAAGACATGCCCAGATATATAATCACTACATAAAACCCCATTACAAAGACAAAATAATAAACCACTACTCGTACTCACTGGAATGTCCTTCCTCATTATGTGCACCAGATCACTACATGTTTGCTTCAACTATTCCTTGAAGAAATAACTAGTTTTTTTTTTTTTTTACAAAAAGAAAAATATATTAAGTTATCAAAACTCTACAAACAAATCTATTCAGGTCATTATACAAAATATGAAATATAGGAGTGGGAAGAATCTCCATCCAATATTCTTCAATTTTTGTTAACCTATCATGCACTGTAATCCATTTTGCTACTTGGTTTTCTTCTCCGTAATAGTGAGTACATTTAAATTTTATGTGTTATAACTTTAATCCACATTTCAAGTGGCTTTTACCATTTGATCAAAATGGGTTTGCATTATTTTGTCCCTTCAGATTCAATACTTGGAGCGTAATAGCCAGTGGCAGAAAGAAATAACTAGTTGATGGCTGTTGTTATATAAAGCACGGTGTGGAGTAGCTAATGATAAATGCCTTGACATAAAGATGCTAATTATCAAGAAAAATACCTCTCCTCTGGTAAATGGGTTAAACTTCCTCTAATGAAACATCAAATTGCACAAGAATCAATGCTTCTGTATTGATGTTAATCATTCGACACTCAAGTCAGTATATGATACCGACATGGAAGCTCACTTGGCTCTAACGTAGCGTCAACTTATGTATATCGTCATCCATGTATGGATGGAGAAGAAGTCTTTGCTTTAGGTCTCTCTCATCATCCAGATCTACTATCAACAGATTCTTTTAATCTTCCAAAAATTTTGGCAAACTAGATTGAAAGGAAGCAAATTCTCATTGGAGAGCGGACTGGCAAGTATGTGCTTGCTTCAGGTTGGCTGAAGAAAACTATGTGCAAACAAGTTTCTCCATGTGATTCCAAATTAAACTTTAAAAAGGGTTTTCCAGACTGCACCGATTCAATAATATTATCTTGAAAGCAGGTGCTTTTGATTTGGCATTATGTGCTCGTTACGATGATGCCTTTTTCTCATTTTACCTTTTCTCATAGATTAGAGGTTTAGTCCCCCCTTTATGTGCTCCTTCCTTATCTTTCATTCACCATGATGAGCTATTTTTTCACATCAAGGGAGTCAATTGGTATCGAAAAGAACATATTAACATAAGCATTTTTTGACAAGACGCGCGTTCTTTTGCCCTGAAAAATCACACGATAATTCTTCGTGGATATTAGAAGATGACTTACGAATTGGCAGGAACAGAAGTCACACACAACTTTTCATTTTTCTCATGTGATAAAAATGGATATGTACAACACTTGGTACACAACACTGTCAATTAGTGAACACTCAACTTTGTCAATTAGTGAACACTCAACTTTGTCAATTAATAAGAAGCACAATACATTTGTCATCAAAGTGTTCTCAAGTGACACCGCCTACAGATATCTTTAAATGTTATGGGCCACTGCAGACATCCATAATTGCTTTGACAAAGTTGATATATTACAGAAGCTGTACACTAATTAGCCCGTGAGATCAATCAATGTGACCTTACCTTAGCCAAGCTAATCGCTCAAATTAAACCCCTCGTCCTCGACATTTAGAGACCCCCGCCCATCGTTCCAATCACGAACCGGGTACGTGACCGGGTTAATTTGGGCATTGTTTCTATTCCAAAGCATCGATCACGACCGTACGTATGCCATCAGCAGAGGCTGGAACGGCCGGGAGAAATTCTCCGCTCGTACGGCGACGCAACAGCGCCGACACGTCTGCCCTGGTCCTGCCGCCGTCCAATCACAAGGCCCGGCGGGACGCGGGTCCCGCCTCGTAGAGTTTTCCCTCTCCTTCCATATCATTGCTTCTCCGAGTCTGCGTACGAACCGAGGACAAACTATACGCGCAATAAAACGACAAAATACGCTAACGGTAGATACGTGCCAGCCAACGATGATAAGGAGAGAGAGAGAGAGTGCGTGTGTGTGTAAAGGTCGGGAGCGGGGCCTTAACCCTAGAATCGGATCGGGCGACGAGAAGGGAGGCGAAGGAGGCAGCCATCGGCTGCGGATTCGCGAGTTCCTCCTCTTCCATCTTCTATTTGGTTTCCTTTTCCCTTTCTCATGTGCGAATATTTGTGGTTTGTTTTTGTGTATATGTTGGATGATTTGGTGGCCGGGGTCATTTGGGTTGACAGAAGAGAGTGAGCACACAGCGGGCGGTGGCATCGATCCGCGGGATGCCGTCGCTGTTGCGTGCTCACTCCTCTCTCTGTCATCCCTGTCTCCCTGGCGTTGCCTGCAGAGAGAGATGCGCTACCTTATGTTGGTCATTACGCTGACGCTGTTTGGTGTGGAAGTGGTAATAGGAAAGCGAGGCTGTGTGAGTTCATGGCGGACACGCGTGCAAGAGAAGGCTTCTTCTTTTCCTCCGCCTCCCTCGCCTCGAATCCCGATCCTCTCTTAAGTTATGCCGTTCTTTAGATCCACTTGTCGCCGATCTGTCTCTTCTCATTCGGTTTCCGTTTTGGAGGGTGGGTTAAAGTTGGGCCTTTGGAATGCGAGTGGCGGAAGAGATCAAGAAAGGATTATAAAAACCCGACCTTGATGGTGCGTGGAAGCGTGGCTTTTGAGATGGTGATTGTTTCAGCTGGGCGGCGAAGTACACAATGCCATCCCCATCTGTATCGTCTGCCTATTGTGTGGATGTAACTTTAGTCACTGTGGTCTTCTTCTCCCTCCCTTCCCCCTCCTCTCCTCCTCCACTCATTTTCCTTCTTTCTCTTCCTTTCCCTTCTATTCCTTATCGCTGAGACGTTGATGTTGGGCGGTGACCACAGTCTCCGACGAAGCATGGGTAGTTTCTTCCCAATATCCTTGTTGACCCTTCTCTTACCTAGTTCCTATCTCCTCTCTCTTTTTGTTTGCTTTTCGTTTCCTCCTCCTCCATCTTTGGGGCTCTCAAGTCGGTCACATTTATTGGACTTATCTCACTTTCCCATAGATACCTTTCTTGTTCATCTGATTTGCATTGGATTTTCGACATTGTTAATCCCTCCTTATCTGATCGTGATCCTCATCAGCTTTTGTTCTCGAGTTATATCGTGCAGTTAAAATTTTGCTTCCCGCATGCATTAAAACCACCGTTGACTTGTGCTCCAGTCTCTTGATGGAGCTCGGATGTATTGCGGATGCTACACAAAGACCTCGGTAAGTCAGATTTCGTCGTGTTCGACGTTCTACATCATTTCTTAGTGGAAAAGCAACTCGAGGAAAGAGTTGTCTGCTTTTATGTTCATGCGATGGAGGTATGAATCGGTTACTGGCTCACAGAAGGTCTTCTTTATTGTTTGGAAGTATTCTTTATTTCTTGAGGTATGAGATGTGGCTTCTTGTAATTTCATTCTTATGTTTTCTGTACCAAATAGTAAAACCATACTTTTGTATCATGACGTGTTTGATATATGTTGGACATCTAAATCTGTAGAAGTCTAAACAAACACAACTCTTAATTTAAGTTTCCCTTAGTTTTGATCCTTAAGTTGTTAGGAGTAGCCACATTTTTAATGTTATCAGGAGTTTTAGGAGAAATCTGAGAAACTATTAGGAATTTGCAAAACATTTGATTTTGTGCATTGAATGGAAAATTAGTGTTTGGTTTTTTAGGGGTGGGTTAGGTGATGACATGTTCTCATGTTTAATGATCTTGTCGAGTTTGCTATTGTAAAATCTAATAGAAGACTTTGTTGATATGTGTTTTTTAAGCTAAGATACATGATATAAAAACATAAAATTTGGGCCTTTCGTGGTTCAGCTTAGTTTCTGATGATTCTAGCGTAGACATTAAGATACACTACATATGAGTATGAGATTGTATGGTGGCTCTGATTCATCTTTATTCAACCATGAAAATTGGCTTGAAACTTCAGATGAACATACTTCCAAATCACAGGGACCAAAGAACAACAATATAATGCTTGAAAAGAGTCAAACGGAGGTAGCTGTGTTGAGTGCTACGCGTGGAAGCTGTAAATACAGTATACTGGACTTACATCATATATACAGCATAGAGTGGAAGTAGTGTCCCATGATGGACTTAGCAAGGAGTCAGCAAGGGGGATTTTATTGGTTTTGAATCTTTTTATTATTGTGGACAATACAATAATATAATCTTTCTCAGTTGAATATTTGGCTGAATGCTTTTACTCTTGGTGCATGACAGGTCCTAAATTATAACAATAGATTCAAATGATTTGTTGAGACAGTCAATTCATAGACATATTATTTCAACTAATTCTTACCCAACCCATCTACCACCTCACCACCCACCCCCCATCAAGATGGAAACTAGTAAGGAACATGAGGCCAGTTTGCTCCCTTTGATCATTTGATAACCATAGAGTTTTACCCTAATTATTTGAAAAATTATAGTTTTTGTTTTTCGTTTTGTTTTTTCTCAGCTGTTGATATCCTCTCATGGTTGGGTAATAAAATCCTAATGTCCATTTCCATGAGAATCTTTTATCATGTCACTTGCTTGTGCTTTAGTTTGCTTCTAGCGTCTGTTCTGCAAATTGGAGTTACATCCTTTGTTTATATACTTGGTCAAATGATTGTTCTGGATGATTCTGGTTATTATTCAGTTTCTGCACAATGCATTCAACCGTATCTCTGCTTTGTCCAATTTGCTTTCTGATTAATTAATTTTAACTTAGCATCATTGTTTTCCTTTACAAGAATGATCAATACTAGTTGCCAGCTTGCATACAAATCAAGAAACATTCTGTAACTTAAAATATTCTTTCTGTTAGATTTTTAGGCTAGTGAGGAGCAGAATCTTGATGAGATACAGGGCACCCTTCTTTTAATATATGCTATATCACGAACAAAATGCATAGATCCAAATACATTAAGATTTTAGATCCTAAATAGTTGTGGCATTATGATATGTTATTGTTACTTGATCACATATGGTGTTTGATCGGAAAAGATTGTGATCTCACCCTCACCCATTTTATGGCCTTTATTTATTTATTTGTTTTATTTTTAATGAAAATAAGTACAAAACCCATAGGAAATAGTCGATATGGACTTGTTAGTGTCATGTAAGCAACTGTCTCTTGTTTTTCTAAAGAGGTTTATTGGTTGTTTATGAGCAACACTATTATTTATAAGACTTGGAATTTGAAATAGAGGAATACTTTAAAAGATAAAGAAGAAAAATTGGTTGATGCACCTTTACTAAGAATATCTAGAGGAACTTATCATGGTTTCTCTGTTGCTCCAAGTCTTCAGTTAGTCGTTCTATTGAAAATTTTAGTTTATTCTTAATCTCTGTACTGTGCCTTCCAAATAATTGCAATGTCCTTCTAAGGATTACTATTTTTTTTAGCATAAAGGAGGCATGAGCTAGCACCTGTGTCATCTTACTTGTGTTGAATTGTTTACATGGTGGCAAGAGGTGGAAAGATGACATACAAAAGCAGTGGGCATCTTGCAGTATAAATAGAGTTACAAACATAAAATAGGGCAACACCTCAATAGGCATAAATAGACAAGTTCCCTGCAAACATTAGAATAAATTCTGGTAATGTCCACCGCACGGTCAAAATAATTTGATGGTTTAGTACATATATTTTTTTTACTCTGAATACTTTGTTAAATAAATCCTGGAGATGGGAATATCCATCAATTCATAAACAACTGATTGTTATCCTATAGTACAATCTTCATCTGTTATGATTTCACACCTCGAGCAGTGAGGATTGACCTGCACCTCTTTATGGAGTCTGGTTAGCAATTTGTTGTAACTTAGTGATGATTATTGCTCTTTGGTGGATGTCTATATTGAAGAAGTTATAGTGATGGAATAGTTAATTTTTTTTTTTACTTATCGGTCACCACTTGATGCCATAATTGATATGGTAAAAATTCTCGATCTATTGGGATTCGACCCACCATGAAGCCTAGTCATAAAACAATAAGAAAGGCTGACAAGGCTTGCCACATCGGCATTAATTCATTCCAATGGAAAAATATTCTTCGGATCATGAATACTTCCTTGACCGTTTAAAGATAGGGCCTCTCAAGTACAGGACAAGTTCTCTCTGGCTCTTGCAATTCCAGTTGGACTTCCTTGGTAACTAAACTCCCACCTCGAGCATTTAGTAATTTAGCATTAGAGGAATCACGTCACATACATCTCATGCACTGGTTTCATGGGAGATCTCAAGGATCCAACTACCCAAACTCATCAAGAGTCTCACCTCATGATTTGGGCCTAAAGCTCAATTCTTAAGTGTCACAAAATTCAAAAAGTGAGTCAGGATGGTTCAATTCTGTCACATCAGATTAATGATCAAATTAGACACTAACACTTAATATAGGAACACCAATCTTTATTTAGTAGTTCAGCAATTTGGTTAACATCGAAATTTGTTAGATCACAAAATCACTGTTGTGAATGATTTTAAATGTGTCTCGAAAGAGAAAATAAGTTGTTCACAATATACGATACCATTCAAATTCATCATAGTGGATTTTTTAGTTATTGATTTGTTTTATAAACTCAAGAGTAATTCTTAACTACCCATTTAAAAATCGGGGTAACCCTGACTAAGAGGCATAGTAAAAAGTGCTTGTAAATTTTAGTAAGTGACAACGGCTAAGTTTAACCCTCTTTTTCCTCAAGAGCATTTGAAGTTCAAACTAATAAGTAAATATCCACCAAATTCATCTTAAAGCATTTGACGGCAACCACCAACCACACCCTTGTAAACTTTGAACCAGAAAAACCAAACAGCTCATCCTATACTGCAGAAATAACTTGTTTTGAATTGCTGCAGTATATCAAACCTCAATGGCCTAGTCCTTTCTCCTCTCTTGTTGTTTCTTATTATTTCTAGACTGGCCTCCTGAAATGGATTTTGATAACCAAGGAGGGTATTCTGAAGTAGGAGAGAGATTTAGATACAGAAACATGATTATGAACACAGAAAAGAGTGAACAAAGAGATATAATGTAGAAAGAATTGGAGGAGGCTACATTCTCATGAAATCACTATAATTCCGACTTCTCTTTGGTCCATACCCTATTCCCCTTCCAAAAAAAAAAGAACTGACACTTTATTTTGTCTGAGGATTGCTATCCAACATGCTTATGTGTACGTATTATTATAACTTCTCTTCAAAGCTAAGTTGTCAAGTTAGAAGTTAAATTCAACTGTAAAACATCACTTATTTATATAATGAGTTCGACCACAACTTATATTCTAAGTTAATAAAAACAAAATCTAACTTGAACTGTATCAGGTGATGGCGGATCTCTTTTTAAAACCAACGTGACAATCTAAAACTGTCGCATAATCCAACTAAATTAAAATGATACGTTCTGTGTCATATATATAGCTGAACTAAATTAATGCTGAAAATCCAACTTGTTACAATGTGGGTCAGTCCCAAGTTGTAATTATTGCCTTGATATTTGAACAACTGAATATTACTATGGGCATTAGTAATTCAAATGTGGTGATTCATATAATAATGGTGTACAACATAAAATACAAATTAAGTAAATCTGTTTTGTTATATATCTAAGACCTTGACCATTAAAATAAATCAGTAGACTGTCTGAATATTTAGACAACTTGTAACTAATGTCCACTATGACGTATTCATTACCACTCATGTTTTAGATATCAGTCTTTTAACATGTTCAAATCTCTTTAAGATTTTTAGAGTGAAAGAAGCAAGACTTGTTCATATCTTTTAATCTATTTTGGATAATGTGGTATAGATACATACATCAAGATACTGAACTGTAAACTCGGTTGGCTATCTTTTTCATGATAATTTTTTTTTTTTCTTCAATGGAGATGTCAATATTGACTTTCACATGTTTACAAGGAATTCTTGAATGAACAAGCCAGCGTGTCTGCAGGAAGTATCCAATGCGTCCTTTAGGTTGGCTTTTTTCATTATGAAATTTGGAGGGTTATTGTATGTGCATGATCAACATTATAGACTTCATCGTGTTGCCTCCTGCCTCTTCCATGATCAACATTATGCTTATTGCAGCACCGTTTTGCTACGGTCATTCTTTAGTTTATGTTGAGCACCTATAAGATATTTCTCTGCTCGCACAGCCCATATTCTTTGAGGATGATCTCAACCGAAAATAGTTGTGTGCATCATCATTTATAATAGAATGGTATAGCTAGCTGGATGGAAGCCTGACTTTGTGCACCTGATACGACACCATTGATGGTATTTAACTGGAAGATAATGATCATAAATATTTTCTGGTGTGAAAAGATTTCAATATATATGCTTAATTTCCGGTTCAACATGTGAATAACAGTTTGTATTCTATGTTTTAAATTGTAGATCAAAATTTTCACCTTTTTATTGTTATAAAGTTCTTTATGGTGTGTGTAATGGAAAAAAGTATAGGATTGCTGTTTAAAAGAGACTACAAGGCAGTAATCTGCAGTTCACCAATATAGCAGAAAAAAGTATAGAATTATTCAACTGAAACTTTTGGTGGATATATGGCACCTCCAAGACAAAAAAACCTTTGCCCTGATATTTTAGTACTTGGAAATGAGGCTCCATTTTGAAAGTTATGCACAGACCGCTAATGGTAAAATTCGTGGAAATTTATTCCATTAGGAGGCACATCATTTTGTATTTTTTTGGGAAGATTGTCAATTTTTTTTTTCTTTTCCTATGAAGATTGTCAATGTTGAGATGCATCCAAACTTCCTGTTTAACTTGTTTTACTAGGCTGCCATGGTTCTTGTTTTACTTGTTTCTGTGATCAGGCAAATATATGGTGGCCTCTCTCTGCAAAGATTCTTCTTTTTATTCGTGGATTATATCTATATCTAAATAACAGTCTAGAATTAGTGAAGTTGGATACTCCAGCCTGAAATAATCTGAGATTTCTTCAAGACTGAAACAATCACAGTGAAACAGATTTTCTTCTAGTGGCAATTACTCAGTCAATCTTTTGTTTTTTTTACTAGTTTTCAGAGTGACAACTGAGTATTCTGATGCTTTGACATACCCTTCAAACTGGTTAATTTGATTTATTGCAGAGAAACTGAATTAGATCGAGAGTGGCCGGACAGACCACTGCCGCAGACTCTTTCTTTCAGTGTTCCACAAAGAATCTTGCTTTCCTGCATGATCCCATTCATTTTGTCCAGAAAACCTGTGACTTATTTGTGTACAGATGATATTAAGCTCTCTTTCCTTTTCAGTATGGCTGATCAAAAATTATTTTTTTACCGCTTTTGGGGTATTTGACTAATTCATTTGTAGTAATTGTGTATAAGGGACATGGAAAAACTTTGGGGTGAGAAATTGACATCTAACATGTGAGGATCTTAATGTTTGATCTTTTTCGCTATCTGAAAAACATGATTCTTCATTTTTTCAAATATTAATGGTCAATGTTCTGCAACTTACTCAGAAGCTTGCAACAAGAACAATGAGTCAATATAGTCAATATTCCAAGTTAGGAAATTGAAGTGCCATTACATTTTGTTTATTCTTGGTAATGAGGTTTTATCTGGATTTTAGCATTCTTTTTTTAGCACCCTTTGTCTTGACCGATTCACCTCACCTGATAAGTTGGTTGTCTTTAATGAAGTTAACAGTATCTTGAATGATTTTTTTTCATTCATTTTATCATAAGTAAATAAAGATTTAAGTGCTCTGAATTTAATTGAATATATGACTTCTTACGTAACTTAATGATGATAAAATATTTATATAGTTGATCCCAAATAATTGAGACTTACAATTTAAAGCTCAATTTGCATGTCACATCTGAAATTTTTCTTTTTTACTTATACTCAAAAATTGAACCGTCATGTCTGCTAACAAGTAACCACCTCTGATTTAGCATTTTCAATCTGGATTTGACTCACTTTGCTTTAGAGGTGCATTCTATAGGTTGTCTTTCAACATGATTCTTTTCCTCATTTATCAACAGTTGATACTATGCCTGTTTTCACAAAGCTCTGCTTTTGCATGCAACACCTGAAATCAATCATATATATATATATATATATGTATATATATATATATATGTATATATATATATATATGTATATATATATATATATGTATATATATATTTATGTATGTATATATATTTATGTATGTATATACATACATGTATGTATATACATACATATATATGTATATATATGTACATATATGTACATATATGTGTGGAGAGAGAGAGAGAGAGATTGAAGATAGTTTACATTACATTCTATCTTGCATTCCTTGTGTAATTGCAAAACGCTTCATATTATTTTTGACTGCAGACTACATATTTTGATGCCTTTAAGAATAGTTTCTGCTTGCTTCCACTACATGAATGTGAGATCTCCTTAGATCATAAGCCTTTTGTCTAATGTTTTAGGGTTTTGTGCTACTCTTGGAGTCTAATTGCTTGACTTGTCGTTCTATCAATCTAGTGAAGCATTAGATTTTTTTTTTTTCACCATTAGATGTTTTTCAAAGTTGATCAATAAACCAAGTAATTGTACCATGTTCAGTAAATGAGTTTTACTAACTGCTGCATATCTGAAGAAGAGAGTGTGATTCGTGAAAATTCATCCAGATACATATCCCATATATATTTTCTTTCATTTTTTTGTTGCATTTATGTCCGACAAGATTGTTGTCACACAATGTTAAGGATATCTGTCTTCTAATTAGTGGATCCAGGATTTAGAAGTCCAAAATATCAAGCTTCTAAATAGCCATACTCCAGGAATTCAATAGTTAGCTTCGTTCCAATTGTGGCCATGGATTCAAGTTTCATGACTCCAATCACTCGTTGCTTTCTACAATGTATACTGCTCTGGAAAGATCTCTCGATGGGCTCCCATACAGTGGCCAAAGTTCTGCTAATGTCGTGCGAGCTCAGTAGTCAATATACATGTTATGCTTCATGCTCTTTAACCTGATTCAATCAGAAACGTTTGCTTTTGAGACTCCTAGCTTGTAGAAAAGGATATATTCTGCTGTCAAAGGGGATTCTGAAGGAGACTGCATCGCAACCAATTATTTTGAGGAAAAGATGTTGATTGTTGGGGAGTAGGAATCAACTAATGGATTCAAAAGCACCCTAAGCGATGGAGTGGCTAAGACTTGCATGGCAATCATTGCTTCTGTAGCTTTTGCTAGGTTGACTGTGGGAATGTCTGCTGTCAAATATCTTGGTGGGACACAAACAAGGAAAGAACTGGCACGGGAGGCTTCAGAGCGGGAAAAAGGCTTCAATGAGGACGAGCAGTAGGACAGTACAGTTCATTCTACTGATAGTTACGTAGTGCTCGGTACTTGTTAATCTGTAGTCCCTTCTAAGAATGGGAACTCACATCTTTTGCTGCATTTGTGCTCATTTGGTGCGGATGGTACTTCTCAAGAACTTTTTTCCAGTGTACATAGATCTGGAAGAAAACAGGAAGATCTCAGCTCATAGCCTTCAACTGTTGGAGCAGGGAGTTCTTATTGGTTCGAGGCATCCTTACACTTGTGCTCTTGTGACACACAGCCTGGAACTCTTGTGACACATTTTCTCCGAGAAAAGCCAAGTATTATGATCTGGTATATATATGATCTGGCCTGATATGGTAAATATGGGCTCAAGTCTGGAATTTGTGGCACAATTTTCTTCAAGAAAAAACATGTTTAGGGTCTTGTGAGAGAATAAAATTTTTGAAGTTTTAATGTTTTCTTTTTTCTTTTATTTTTGTCTTAGACAAAATAGAGAAGAGTTGCATATAATGATAAAAAGACTCGAGTGCCCTTATGCTTCTGTTTTAGAAGATATTTGATTGTAATTATTAGGGTTAAGATTCATTTTTTGCTCATGTAGTTTTAGCCGTAGACTTCTTAAGCTGGTATATTTATATCTAAAATAATATTTATATTTTTAAAAATATAATATATAAGTCTCTTTCGTCAAACTTGAGTTAATAGATATTAGAATCTGTTTACGTGATATACTGGCTCATAATAAAGGATTAAATCTCATTTTAACTGATTTTGATCATGAACTTTTTAAAGTATTATGGTTTAGTTGTGTCTAAAATATTTTTTATATTTTAAAAAATATAAAATATATTTAGGATGAATATAGGTACAAATCAAGTGAAGATAGATTTGGTCTATATGGATACATATAGGATTTAGATATGGTCACTTGTGTAAACTGAATCAGGTATATTTATATTTTATATCATATTTCTGCGTATCATACTATAAATGACAAACGGTTGGATATTATCATACTAGAGGTAAATAAGTACTAGAAATAAGGTCTTTTTTTTCTTTGTTATTTGATGTTCAAAACTCTCATCAGGTAAATATAATTCTACAAGTATGTTTTCTTGCCAAGACTTATTTTTTGTTTACGCTTAAAGTAAGTTGTTATCCATATACACAGATATATATGCTAGGCTCACTCTTTAAAGAATATATTTTTTCCAAGCATTAAAAGAGAAAATTGAAGTTGAGCTTCTCATATAAGAACAAGTTTAAGAAATTACTTATTAAAAAAAGAGCTTCTGCAAGAGGGAAGTAAAAGCATACTTTATGAGAGATGATGTTCTAGGAGATTCACAGGAAACAGAAATTTTGGAGTGAAGATCTCAAGTTGAGATCGTGAGAAATGATTTAACAAGAGGAGGAGGAGGAAGAGGCACATCGGAGGCGAAGGAGACCTGACAATGATGCAGCGATGAGGCAACAAGAAGATGGTGTATTAGTGGGGGCAAGAAAGGGTTTACGTGAGTTACATGGTGTAAGGATTAAAGGAAAAAAAGACAGAAAACTGCATGAAAGGATTGGTAGGTTTACAGACATAACTATTAAAACAGGAGGGAAACCGCAGTTTGGTAGTGTTACCACTTGGTTCACCTTGTAGCAACAAGGATTGGGTGTTAGAGACACATATAGACTACTTGAAATAATTTGTTGAGGTATAATGGTTATGATTATGGTCACAAGTTGGATTAAATTGTATGGGGGCGCCAGAAGCAGATTGAGTAACTAAATAGCTAAAAGATGTAATATGGTAACTTTGTTAGCCTATTGTTAACTTGTGACTGGCTTGAGCTGCCTAAACTAAACTTGGTTCACTTTATTATCTGATTGGCATAAATTTAATGGATGGATGCTTATGCAGCAGCTTGCTATCACTTTGTTGGGCACCTCCCAAGCCATTTTTGTAATTTTATGAAAAACTTTACTATAGTTTCTGATTTAATTGGATCCATCCTACCTATGACTTTCAAAATATTTGTGGTGGTCAAATCATCATTATTTCATGGTTGCTTTTGGTTCCAATGTGCACCTGTAGTCTGTGCCAACAGTATCTTTGGTTTATTGGACATGATTAATACTCATTCTTATCTTTGTCATTTTTCCAACCTTATCTCTACGACTCATTTTTAGGATAATTTTTGGATGGCTTTTGCTTGAACAGAAACTGTAGGTCATGAGAATCAATTTCCATTGTGGCATTTAAGTTTTGCACATTTGTAGTCATGGGCTATCCTTATTTCTAAAGTTGAAGCTTCATTTTATATATCTTGTTTATGTCCTTCCATTTCTTTCAATATTAGTCATGTATAACAAAAATATTCTCCATCATCGATGAACAGTGAAAAGGTTTACCAATACCAAACACTATTTTTTCTTGCAAAATAGTGCCCTTTATGGCAATTTTGACATTCTCTTCGCTGTTTTAGAGTCTTTTGCTTGTGTAGTACTAAAAATATCTAATTCATCTAATTGATCAAGCTATCGCCATTTGATATTATCTGAATCCATAGTTTCGACTTTTGTGTTCTTCTTTGTTCATATATTATTTACTAGCTTATTTGGGAACTCTTTAGAACTAATACTGATTCAATCCCTGTCTAAAGTATTTTTTGTGGTTGTGTCAATTTGGTTACGTTTACAGTTTGCAGTTCACCATATCCTTTTAATTCTTCAATTAGTGCATTTAAGCATATAATTATAGCTTTCCAATTTAAACCCTTTCTTGTATTATATCTGGTTATTTGTTGTTGTCTTATAGAGTTATTGTCTCTTGTCATGAGTTAGAGGGAACTGTCAGTAGTTTTAAGTTGTCTTCATATGATCTTTCTTGGAGATTTATGTTTTGTTGTATCTCATAAAAGGGACTTGTTTCAGTCCTTCAAATATTTACCATCTTTTGGCCAAAATCTTTGCCATTTGACATACCCCTAATCATTTTTTTTGATATGTTCCTCTGTTTGCTAGCCAACCACTATTGTGTCTTTTTTTCTAAACAAAAGCAAATATACTACTGAAGCAGTCTGAAAAGAGGAGCATTATGCTCCTCGGAGCACAAAAGATCTGCTAATT